ACGGCAGCCCCGCTGCAGGTATGATCAATAACTCCATGAGCATCATGTTCGGAGCACCCATAGCAGTGGGAGGGTTATCTCAATGGTTCTCATGGGCACTTGAAAACATCCATTAAGTGGGTTAAAAGTATCAAAATAGGTGCGATCGACAGTGCTATTCTGCAGTACATTCTCTTTGGGATTTAGCGCTTGCACCAATTTGGAGCTGCATCTAGCTTACAATAAGCTTGCACAGTTCGCCATATCCCTTCTGCCTTTCTGACACGGAAAGTTGGCGCCGCAAACTCAAGTCACACGAGAAAAAAGGTTTATGGGCACGCTGTTCCCATGATAAGATCAATAATTGATTCCAGAAAAGAGGTCGACTTTGTGACGCACACCTTGATTCGGGGACAACACACGCGATGGGTTTCTGAGCTCTACGTTGTGAAGAAAAAATAATTTTTGACAATGTTGTCACACTCCTCGCAGTCACCAACATGCAAGTATCTTTAATATCAGACTCAGTCACGACAGATAGTGAGATCAGCTCCCCATCGGTGCCAACAGTATTATTCGGTGATTGCAATGTATGTATGGGTTTGCAAACATCCCCGCGAGTTAAGGTTCTAGTATCATTGAGGGCTTCTACCGGAGTAGCATTACAACCCCTGGCTAATCCATTTGACTTTTCTCACAGTTAAACCTTGAATTCGCTGATTCTATTGAAAGTAATTTGTGTGTACCGGTACCATACTGGTATGAGCTTTACAAAATACTAGTAATTATTGAGTAGTTTGAATGAGCAGGAATGGACACTGATTGCGGCGCTATGGTGGTCTCATTTCTGTCGTTGCAAGAGCGTCGCAAGCTTCGACTTGTAAGTCGTCGATGGCTATTTGCATGTACTTGGCTGCAGTACAATGGAAGCGATGAAAGTGTGCAGCCGAAAAAATCGGTTTGGAATCTGTGCAGTCGCGCATTTCGACACTCTTGGACCACCTTTCTGCGCATCAAGTCTCGTTCATTCTTGCCGCTCATGCTGGAGGCATTGCCTGCTGCAACAAAATTAGAAACTATGGAGCTCAAGAAGGGCTTGTGTTTATCCACCAATACTGGGCAACGACCTTCTTTTGAAAACCCACATGCTCGCAGCGGCTACATCCAGCAAAAGTTCAATCGCTGCCGAAATCTGCCCGACTTGCTCCTGACGAATGAGCTCAGTGAATTAAGATCAAAAATCTTTAGAATTAATCAGCCAGAGCCCTGGAGCATAGCAATGTATGGAGGAGGTCCCGGGTATGATGTTATTGGATTAGTATTCATGCGAGAGCTCTTCCGGGCTACGGATGTAAACTTTCGTGCTACCGTGTACGACAACGAACTTGGATGGAAATACGCAATCGACGCAGCTAATCAGACGCTCATTCAACTAGGCTTTTGCCACGTTTCGTTGAGATTTGATCTTTGTGACATTACACTTGATTTGGAAGCGGTGGAAAATAAGTTTGTTTCTCAGTCACTCCGGGCTACCCAACTACATATATTTTCATTCGTATGCGTGGAAAACTTTTGCATACTACATGACAGTGGCTACGGAATGATACGCTCGCTCTTCGCTCAGTGCAGTGCCGGTAGCTATTTTATTTTCACAGACTCCACACATCGATTGTGGCCTGCTATTTTTCAGGTGGCCAACACCACGTCACCCGATAGATTCCGCATTTGGACTCCGTACGCTCGTGGTTGCCACTACGCTCTCGTCCTCCAAAAGCTGGCCGATTATTCAAGTCCAGCGTTTAAATACCCATTTTACTCTCAAGCGATGCAGAATCTTGCTCACTTCCAACGACATCAACAGAAACAGCTTCACACAGCATGATCGATCGAACCTTAATGAGTTATTGGTACACATCACTTAAACACCAAAACGTTTTTGTCGAACCACTGGTAGACGCCTTAATCCCCTTACGCTTGCATCATGACCGACGTGACGGTGACTCGCCGCTACTCGTCGGCATCGGCTGAAGATTTGATATGCAGCGCGATCGAAAATGAAAACCCGACTGCTTCAAATGTGCTAGTGGCGGCGCTCAATCATGATGCAGTGCTCGCTCGTTTCATCGGTTTCGTAACGCGCGTGCCATCCGCGAATGCACAGCTGCCTGACGGTCCCGACGCTTCCAAATTTGCAACTTTTGCTGAATCGGACGCGCGACGCAAAAATGAGATGCTTGACGAAGTGACGCCAGAGCTTGTAGCGTCCTATAGGGCCACAATGATGCTTGCGAATGACGATACGGCGGATGCACTGCTGACATTCCTTGGAAATAAAAGCAAACTTTTGACGCGCTGTCTATTTCAAGTTTTCCAAAATGATTCTCAAGGAAGTCTTCGTCATGCATGTCGTGTCATCGATTACTTGCTGCGTTTCAACTTGGACGACGTGTATGACGTACTGGGTAAAAATGCCAAGACCGTGCAGAGGTACATGGGCGCCCTGCTACCTTATCTTGGGGATGCACCAGTGGCTGAATTGTTCTTGACGCTGGTTTGCAAGCCTCACAGTGCTACAATAATGCGGTTGTACGCCTCAACACCGCCCAAAAAGTGGGCGTTCTTCCGATCCCTGGCAGAGTGGAAGATGTTGCTCGTGTTGGCCTCTCATGTGTGCAGCAATGAATACGGAGAGACACATACCATTGGAGCTGCTGATGTTTTCGTTGAGCTGGTAGACAGGCTAGCAGCCGACGAGAATGGGCAGTTATTACTACAACCAGCTGCCTACTGTCCTGAGGTTCTTGAGGGGCTAATCCGCGCTGCAGTAGAATCCGAAGATGATAATAGTACTGCTGTACAGAGGACTGCAGGTCAGCGTACGGCTGCAATAAAGTGTGTCTACCGATTATTACAGAAAAGTTCATTGGAGAAGGTTCAAGGTCCGCCTACGAGCCCATACCAGTCATTTGGTGCTACAATCGTTAATTTGGTGCCTAATCAGTTAAGTCCTCTACGTGAAAAGATTTACACACTTGTGGAACAACATTTAGGTGAACTTTTAAATTTCTTGATTCAAAAGTATGTGAGCCAGCAGAATATCGAGATGCCCGGCGAAGATTCGAACAAGCCATTACCAGAGACTGCAGTTCGCCACACTGCGTATATTGTGAAGGTCCCGTTCACAGAACTGCGACTTACGCTGGTCGAGACCCTTGTCGAGATAATGGCGCACAATCCAGGTCTGATGAGTGAACACTTTAATGCAGATGTGTGGCGTGTACTCGTCACGTGGTTCTTTGAGTATTCTCACAATAATTTGTATCATGCGGCTTTTTATCAACTCGTTTTCATTGCACTGCGAACGGACAATCAGCAAACCCTAGAAGTGCTTGTGAAAAAGCTCAAAGTGGTCACCCTTTTGATTGAGCACTACCGTGCGGATGGCGACTTTACCAGTAACAAAGGGTATATTCTGCAGATTTGCAATGCAATTCGTCTGCAAGCCGCTTCACAGTCGCCTGATGCATTTTTGCGCAATTTCTTGCAGTCACATACAACATGGCGTAGCTTTGAGCAGGAATTGCGAGAACAAACCAGTTTGCTCTGCGTTAATGGCTTGGGCTTTACGGTGCCGCAAGCGATTCGGCCGGGATATCAAAAAGATACATGGCAGCTGCTGGACGAAGAGGAGGTAGGAATTGATCATGGGTCTGAGTTTGCACGGTCTCTTGGTTTTGTAGACGACGTTGCATGGCCAGACAATGATACCGCTGATATCAACAAAAAGCGCAAGAAAAAGAAGAAAGGAAAGCGAAATTCGCATCACCCGAACAGCAATACTAATTATGATTCAATCGACACTGGCGATACTTGCAATGTAAAACCAGAGAACGCAGCTGAGGCTGCGGCTCTGAAGACAGCTGAGGATGCCGAAAGCGATGCGAACGGATCAATAGGAAATATGCCAACTACACCAAAGAAAAAGAAAATCAAAAACAAAAAGAAACAGAATAAGAATAAGAATAAGAAATAGTGGCATGTTTGGCAGACTACCTAACTAAAAATTTACCTGAATTTATAGATATTCAGTCATCATAGACAAATTCGGGTTATATGGCTCGACAATAAAACTGTCTAAAAGTTTGGCGGGGACAAAACTTAAAGGTATGCGTGCTCCGAAAAATGGATAAGCAAGTGTCAGAAATCCAACTTCATACGCATTACAAATCAAAAGACCAGAAAAGCAGACAGTATGGAAAAGATTAACGACTTTGCCATTCCAAAGTTAAAATAAAAGGCCTGAAACGCTGACATGCGAGCCACTCTTCGCTATCGTAGTCTAAAGTACTAATTGCAGTATCATGCCAGACTGTTACCCCGAGAAAATTCCGCCTCCCTAATATAACAAAACAACAGGTCAAATTGGTGCTATCAGCATTAAAGCATCACCATTACATACCATGGGTTAATGCGATTGTCATCCGATCCATCATCTTCATCCCAAGTCACGCGAAGCGCCTCCCATGGCAGCATGCCGTAGGCATCAAATGGCAAAGACCCTGCCGTCTTACCACCATAATAATCACCTGGTTGCCCTTGAGAGTTGCGAAAAAGCATCCTGAAATCCTCTCCACATTGCCAAGACCGATTGACTGCCCACAAATACCGACTGGCATCCACAACATACTCTGGTAATCGATTTTCAAGACGCAAGATTGTCACGATCGATCGGGTTGGCAGCTCTGTTGGGCTCGCCTTATCGTGCTCAAACTTCTCCGACTTACTAGCGTCCTTTTTTTCCGGGGAAAAATTATCTGTATTTACTAATGGGTCTTCGCATGCTCGAATTTCCTTTCCCCACTTCTTGATTTGTCCATCTGCTACGTAGACTAGATTATGCGCTAATGGTGGCAACGTCGGAAAGCGATCTTCGCAGAAAAGTTGACAATTGTCCCGCATAAGTTTTAAGTCGCTCATAAACTCTGCTGCATTCTTGTACTCCAGGTTGCTTGCCTTCATAGTTATTGTTTTTAAATCCATCGGGTGCAGAATAATTTCCTTGTATTGTGGAAACTCCCAATCTGACACGGGTTCCAAGAACGGATCAGCATCTGCAAGCCCCTTTAGCTTCGCCAAAATTCTTAAAAATACTCTTGCAAGTCGATGTTCTCGTGACGGCAAAGGGCAGAAATAAGTTCCTGGTTCACGAACACATCCATGTTGAGCCGGGTCCGAAATCGGCTCAAGTACAGCCAAAGCGTATGGGTCGCCTCCACCGTGATGATACGAAACGCTCTTCACACTGCAGATTACTGTCGCATTACGAACAGGTTTATCGCTCTTCTGTGTGAACCGCTTTCTCTTGGATTTATCGTCTTCTTTCAATGCTAAAGCATGGCCATCCCCAAAGTATATCACGGTCTGTCCGACCTCGGGTATGAAGTTATGGGTTTCTTTAGGTCGCAGTTTAAGCCATTCACGCCGATCCAAGCGGATATGCAGATCCATGAATGCTTCCACACTGATAAACTCTTCAAGTAGCAAATGTAGCAAAAAAACAAGCTGGGCGTATGTACAGACGCCCTCAAGCGCCAGCCGCCATTCGTGTCGTTTTCGACGCCACGATGATCGAATTGTTTCCACTCCCAAATTTGAGGCCGCGACCGCAGCACTCTCCAACTCGGCCAACAAATCAAGCTGATCATTCAACGACTTTGCCTCTTCAACACGAGTACTCCATGTTTGCGCGCCTTCCCACGATGCAGGCAACGTATTCGTGCTTTGAAGATGCTCCTTTAGACACAACAACATCTTGCGAGCAACACTAAAAGACTTAATGACCTTATCTGTATCCTTTATGGTCATTATCTCACTTTGAATTGCGCCACCAGGAAGCGGAAACATTTGAAGCTCGATGCTACCCTTCGCATTCCACGCAATACCTCCCTTAGTATCACTGTCTTCGTTGCCACCCTCCTCGATACCATGAAGCAATTTGTCTTTGACATTCTGTAGCTTCGTCAACAAGTTTAGCTCCCGGATACCTTTTGGATTAAGCCATTCTATGAGTGTTATAATTTGGGATTTGGTACTGCAAATGATGAAATCTCCCGAATCATGACGCTCAATAAATAATCGCGGTTTGGTATCGTGTCTAAACATATAGTACGCATTGTGGTATCTGTCTTTTCCTAACGGAGACTCGCGAATAACAAGCGAGTCCAGCTCGTTTGCCATCTCCTCAGTCTGAGCTTTTTTGTCTTGCTCAAAATTCCTATCATCTTCCAATTTCTCCGACTGTAAGTCCTCGAAGAATTTTCCAATAAACTCATGTCGACGCTTAATTCCCTCCGAGAAAACATTGTGCGAATTAGGATGAATTCCTTGGCTTGCACAATCCTTTCTGAATGCAGTATCTCTTTCGCGTCGTAACCTGTCTGACTGCTTTCTACGACTGTCCAGATCAGACGCACGTTTTCTATAATTCTTGTAAATGAGCATCTCCTGATCCACCTGAGATGCCATATAGGTCCGAATACTAGATAGCGTCAAAAATTCCGAGCAAATCCACGAAAGAGCGCCAATTTTATACGCGATAGGAAGCTCGTGAAATTCTAGACAGTATAATCCGTACACAACATCGCAGTATTGAAATGACTGCATTCTCTCAGCTGACGGATCTTTGAGTAATTTCATGACTTTCTTGCAACCTTCAATTCGGCTTTGATTCGCTCGAATTCGACCGATCACAAATCGTTCGTAATCTTGCTCAAAAACATCAGACAGCGCTAGGGCTGCTCGACCTACTTCTGACTCCTCGCCATTATACAGAATGGCATTATCCCAAACCAAACGAACATCGTTCGCAAACATTTCGGCACCATTGGTTTGTTCATAATATCCCGAATCAATTCTCTTTTTTATAGTGCCCAGGTCCATCGGATTCGTTACAACTTGCAGATAATCTTCCAAACCCTTTACAGACGTATCCACTGGGTCGTTAAAGGGGCTTGAGTTGTTTTGCATGTACAAAGTTTGTCGAACAATCTCACATCCTACCAAAGATCCAACGTGACCGATAGATGGGTCGATACCAAGATCTTTCGACATGAGTTGGCGAAGTATTTCTTGCCATGTGACTGCATTCAGCATGTCGCCGTTAGCACGCTCGCAAATTCCATAAGTCCTCTCGCTGTTTAAAAACAGATCGGACACCTTGATGTTACCTTCTACAACAAAATCGCCCAGCTGAGACATATGAGATTTTTCGGATAAAATGACTCGTAGAAAGGCCAAAAAAATCCGAGTCAGACCAACGTCAGTCCCTTCGTCACAGCGAGCTGTAATACACTCAGCGAGAGCCTCCAATGAAACGACATCCATGCCCAAAAAATCTCTAAAAGTGCAAATACTTTGCCACGCCATAATGAGCTCACCCAGCAACAAACCTTCGACACCTTTCAATCTAGAACAGACCAAAGGAATACTATTACTGTTGGCCGCCTCTCCCTCCAAAAGTCTCAAATCGTCCACAGGAAACTTCGAATCTTCCTCTCTTTTCGACTTTCGCTCTTCATCACGCTCATCCTTTAAACGTTGCCGCTCGAGTTCAGCTCGTTGTTTTCTCTCAAGGCGCTCATTTTCTCGTTTCGTTCGACGAGCTTCCCGTTGGGCGAATTCCTTTTGTTGCCTCGCCTCGCGAAGGGTATAATTTTCGTGCAAGCGATGCAGCTGCCTAAAAAACATCGACTCGAGATATGTGTCCTTTTCGGAAAATAGGTTACATATTTGGGCCCTGATGAAAGGGTAATTTTTAACCAAAAACCAGGCAGACTTCATTTACACATGATGAAATAGCACTGAAGTTAGATTCAAACTTCAATTCAATCGGAACAAACAGAATTATCGCAAACGTACCACTCGATATCTACCCAGTAGTGACAGCTCGATAACCTGCTGAAGCGTGGCTCGATATGACACTTTCTTGTTAATAGGTAACCATTCTTTAAGAACGTATGCGACAAGGTAACTAGCTTCAAACAGACACCGAACGTGCTGAAATATGTGGCGATACGACGGATGGGGTAGAAGTCCGGACAAAGGTCCTGCAATCTTGTACCAGGCATGTGGTGTGATAACCCATAGTGTCGGATCTCCCTCTGCGTAATCGAGGCACCAATCTGTAACTTCAGGAAGCCAAACACGTGTGCGTGCGTAGGTTGAAGGATGACGAAAGCCGCATTCTAGCAGATTTAGCTCGTCGGGAGTACCCTGCGCATCAACTTCGACAGCATGATCAGTACGCATCAATTCGACGACATCGGAAGGCAGACCAGCACTTCTTGTGTCGGCTCGAGAACTTGGTCTTCTTTGACCTGTGTCTGCTGCAGAGCTTTTGAAAACTGCAACTCGCTTAGGTGAATGTTTTGTTTCAGCAGTCCCAGCTTTTGGAAACCGTCGGCTCAGTATCTTTTTTTTTTCGCCGCATTCTGTATCACTAACATCCGAAGAAAAAGATTTACGAGAGCCCATGTTCTTCTCGCTTCCACTCCCGCTTGAACTACAAGAGGCGGACGATAGAATTTCACTTTCGTTGCCCGAGCCTGCATAAGAACCATTACTTTTCCCAGAATGAACAAGTTCATCATCCGGGGAGCGATTGCTAATATCACTGTCAGAATCTAATTCTCCATCTAATTGAGTCAGACGACTCTGAAATGTCCAACGGGAACAATGGTAGACATGAGACAGCTCAAAAATCCCAAGATTATTCACGGACATGGGCGCATGTACGTCTTCTTCATACTCGCCATCACCTTGATATATAATTTCGTCGTCAGCTTTTGCGGATTTATTTTTGTATTTTGTAGGTACTACAGTATCGCATAAATTGAAGTTTGCGTCAGAGACATGCTTCCCACTACAACGACAGCAGCAATTACAATCATCATCTCACATTTTGGTTTCGTTCGCGACTTTGACGCAGAAAATTTTGCAGGGTTAAAAGATGCAGGATCAGTGCGCTGCCGTTTTTTTGATCTTGACGGAAATGCAGGGGATGCGAGAATAGGCTTGATCGGAAGTAGACGCTCTGCCAGCGGTAAATGTTCGACAACAGTGCCAAAACCCATAATTTTTGGGCGCTGATCTTTTGGACAGTCCAGGACCTCAAGACTGATGGCCTCACTGCGAGCATAAAACGTAGAGCAAATATTAATGACAAATAACTTTATATGGTTGGAGGATTCTTAGACAAACCCATTCTCGTCGCAAAAGAAAAACATGTCCAACTGGCGCAAAATGTCACCACCATTTGCGTACGGATCGTTAAAATGTGCCGGAATATTGATCTCGACTGTTTCTTCGGGACGATGGCTAGCGAGAGTAGATTCCACGTAAGATAACTCTCTCGCACCACGAATTTCACCTGATGGCACAGTAGGTCCTGAAGGGATTAGCTTATTTGATACAGGAGAACCATTTGAACAAAGCGGCGTAGCAAACTTGGCCTCATTTCTTTGAAATGCCGACAAAGCATCATGAGCCATGATACCTGACACGCGACTTGCAGATAACTCTTTTTTCAAAGGTCGTGTTTCTGTTTCAGGTTTAGTGTGCCTCAATATACTTGTTGACACTCGCGGCACTTTTTCTGCCATTTCATTCAACTCTGTCACCTGTAAATTAGACGTCACGCTATTTCCGCATAAATTAGTAGGGTCCAGCACCGTCAAATCGTTATTACTCGTTTTGAACCCTGGTGGAAGCTTCAAAGTCACCTTCAGCGACGAAGAAGTGTCATTTGTTACTTGGTGCTTCGTTAAATATTTTTGCCTTTGTGATCTCGTTGTGAGCGGTTGTCTTACGGCACCTACAGAATCGATACGATCAGGCGGAGGTGGCGGAGGTGGTAAAGGTGTCTCTGTATCTGACATGTTGGATATGCCCGAGCTAGAGCTGTCACTGAACGAGCTGTTACTTGAAGATTCAGCCGGAGCGGAGGGGGACGGCGGCGGAGGTGGAGGTGGATGTGGGTGACTAGGCAGTACGGCTGCAGGTGCGTGCTTCTCAACCTTCCTCGTTTTGATAGGAATTTTTTTCGAGGCTGAACGTTTCTTGGTTCTTTTCTCCAATTTTTTTTTCCCTCTGACAAAAGTGCTGACCGTTTTTTTCTCATCGTTGCTCTGCTTGCTTGCGCGTCCTTGAGAACCCAATTTCTTCTTAACCGAGTTTTGTGCTGTATCCGAATCTCCCTCCGAGTTAGAGGAAGATGAAGAGTTTGCTGGAGAGCTTGATAAAGACACGTCATCAGAATCCGAGGATAGACTTGACGAGCTGCTAGAGTCCATATACTTGGCGCTCATCTCCACCGACATGATGTCTGCGAGTGCCATCTTCAAATATTTTCTCCACGATCGATAAACACAGCTTTGGCCAAAATCTCGGCGCGTCCAGTGTACTTGCTCGGGTTAAAATAACCTACGTCTCACAGTAAAGTCCGGTCTGGAGCTCGCTGAGTGCACGTGCAGCCACAAAATCTTCATACAGAGTGATGGTAAACATCAGATTAAACGGGTATCGAGTGTAATATGGAAGTTTGTAGGCCGGTTCTCTTCAGTCGGCAAAACCGAGAATAGGCTGAGATTTGATGGATAGATTTTATTATTTTAAGATTAACTTGTGCAAACTATAGTTGGGTCCGCACGGGGCTCATGCCACCACAATTGCTCGTCGTTATATATGTAGGTGTAGAGGCCGATCGCCTCTCAGTACTCTCCTCGCGCGCACGCTCTTGAATATGGCGCCTGATGTCAAGAAATGAGTCGATAATCTCGTCGAGAACAAGCTATTTCCAAGCAGAAAATGGAGAATTTTAGCACACAGAAAAATCAAGACAGAAGAAATCACACACCAGCGGGCAAGTATGTAGAATGGACATCATATAGTGGCCGAGGTCGCGCTGCCGCTTGTCCACAATATCGGCTGACAATGACGAGCCAATATATTTTTTGCTTGGCAAGAGTCGAAACATGGGCGCCCATGAAGGATACTTCTCGCGCAACTAATTATAAGCGTCAATCCTGCACTCGTCAGTATGTAATACGAGACCCCTCATTTGATAGCAAAGCGGTTTGTCGGCCTACTAGTATGTCAATTGCGCAAAACTCGCGATAGCGGCGGACAACGTCCCATATCTACACCACAATGCAGAAGATTATCAGCTATTAACAGCCGGTCGCTCATCATAGAAGGCAAGGTCCAAACCTCTGGTGTTTTATTGTACTCAAACCATGTGCAGCGTAGAACGTATTCCTGTGATGCATGTACCGCGTGGGACTTTGTCATCTTTCAAGCAAGAAAAATGTAATACCGTGTAAAACCTTCCACAATCTAGGTCCAGAGACTCCTGGCTTCCGATCACTTCGACACGGAAATTGACTTGTAGGACCCCCTTACGTTGTCGTGGCTGAAGCTGAGAAGATGACATTGAAACTGGATATAACTGCTCAACAGCATATTTGATAACAGTTTTACAGCTTTCATGTAAAAACTTCAAAAGTGATCTCTGATGTATTTTTAGATTACAAACACCAGACTAAGGCCTTAACCCAATCATGAAACTAATTCATCGTCCAAGCTGCGATTTTGACAGGGTATTATCCAGGGGATCGCAACAATCACCTTCTTCGCTAAGAGCTGATATTGAGTATCACACCGGATACATATTTGGCAACCGTGGCGGTCGACGCTAGTTTTTGTCTAACCAACGATAAACTCTGGAGACAGCGACAGAATATCGATACATCCCGTTTCATCTGGTGGCCGCAGCTCACTGCAACTTCTGTCTGGCAAGCTTAGCTCAAGGCACTCAGCACAAACGCTGGTGATAAATTTGGGATATTCATGTCCTTTACCGAGGCTAGCGCAGCTTCATGCCCACGCCAAATTCTTCTCTGCTTCCTGTCAAAGTTGAGTGAAACGAGGTGCGAACCGAATCATAGTGTAGAAATGACAATACTTGCAACGGGGTTACACATACCCTGGGAACAGGTGTGTGTGTCACACGAGAAAATTAGGCGGCTTTGCCGCAGATAGAAATAAATAAAGTCAGTTTTGGATTTCAAACCGAAGAGCTAATTGCCTTGGGTTAAGGCATCAATTATTCTCGGAGTAAGCGGATTGCGATCCGCTAAACTCGTACTTGTTCTCAGTATAGACCGAAAGGTCGGTGACCTAAGTTACGCTTCCTCAAGCGCAAAGCTACGGCAGCCCCGCTGCAATCAGTCTAAACGACTCAGGCGTAGATTGTCTACAAGTGATACCAAGTGCTACCAAGTGCAGCGGGCTGCCGTAGCTTTGCGCTTGAGGAAGCGTAATTTAGGTCACCGACCTTTCGCTCAATACAAGTGTAGCGGATCGCAATTTTTACCTCCAAGAGTAGTTACTACCTTAATTTGGGCTAATAAACTCTTCGATTTCATTTCAAAACCGATTTTTAGTTAGTTTATCTGCGGCAAATCCGCCGAATTTTAAATGTTTAGATTATTCTAAATAGTAAAATCTAAATACATGCATGACTACTGGCTACCTAGCCACACACCGTATTCTTGTTTGGGTGCAGTCACACCATGCCCATATCGTGTGACATGAACCCTGTTTCAATCGATCATTGGCTCAACGAGGCTTGCGTGTACGCTAGACACTGCACCTTAATTCGTTGGAATAAAGCGACTTCCTTGCTCAATTAATGTGAGTCAACCACACTGAAGTCACCAAGTCTCGCTGGTTCTGACAGCGAACACGGGCAGAGCCCAACTT